AAGTGTTGTACATGTTTTCATGTTTGAGGGTTTGGTTTTGGACCATAAATTAATAAACAATAAACATTTCCCCTCTTTCGTGTTAAAAAATTACAATTTTGTAACACCTTCTGGAGTCTCCAGAAGACACCATTAAGACATGGCCATGGGGCTTCGGGTGGTGCATCTCATCCGCCATTTCTATCACTGCCCACATGAACGCATCCATGCAGACACAAAAGTTCCTGGTAATAACAATCTCTCTCCTGTTTGCAGAATTTCTGCCCAAGCCCAACGTGATTGCCAAACCAAGCAATTCCATTGAGGAATTTGCCTCAGGTAGTCTAACCTGCAATACATCGGAAGACCTAAACATTAAGTGGTTTAAGAATGGAGAACTCTTCAAGAAGGAGTCCCAGCTCTTAGACAATAATCAGACTCTCTTTATTCCTTCTGTAATCAAGAGTGATGCTGGGAGATATCAGTGCCAAATTTCTAACACAAACAGCACGAGAATAAGTGACGTTCTCAACCTCAACGTTCTCTGTAAGTATTTGGCTTCCAACATCTCTAGCTTCGCCTTAATTCTGCTCTCCCTTCCACCACTGCTCTGAGATGTCCTTCATCCTCCACCTTCATCAGCAGGTGATTGAAATGGGGCCGGACCTATCTTGAGGCAAAGTATGACAGCTTGCCACAGGCAGGAAAGTTTGGTGTTATAGCAGAAAACGAAAGTCATTTTTTTTAGTAGAGTGACCCAATACTGTGCAGGGAAAAAAGAGAGAATTTAAATAGGAGAAGGGTGAAAATATATCTGGTCAGCACAGAAGTACATTTCTCATAAAGAGTTTGTCTTTCGTAGAGGGTTTGTTTCCTTATTGCATCTGACTAAACTGGCACTGCCTTGACTCAAAATAGGCTTGAACCTATAACTGGGGAAAAGGACATCCAGGGGTGGGGGAACAGCCTCTAAAAGTCAGAAGGAAGGGAATTTATGGCTGCCGGTAAATGCGGTGGAACAGTGGGCCACACCCAGCCTCTCTGAAGACGACCTGGGGAATGTGGGGGACAGGGCAGGGCGATCAGCCAGAACTAAATGACCAAGTGGGGCCCACCCCTGGTCCATAAAGAGAGGCTGCAGCGTCTTGTTGCCATTGCCCAGCATCAACTGCCTCACTCCGTCCAACGACAGGGCCGGCCCCAACGCAGACATAGCTGCAGTTCCCAAGGGAGTCCATTCTCGGCATTTTGGTTAAAGCTAAATTTGCGTCAGGGATAGGATGGTCAAAACATATCTTGCCCATCAGGGATTTCATTGGTGAGGCAGCCCAGTCCAAAGGCCCATTGAGTCCTTAAAGACCAGGGCTTTCAAAACCCAAATGTGTGGGAGCCCCATATTTAAGAGACTGCTTACTCTTGCATGTGAATGCATTAAGCATTCAGCCCATTGTCAGAAAAGAGCCAGAGGGAGCTTTGATCTACCATAGCTATTCTTCTGAATGAGGACTCCCCCCAAGGATCATGACATGGATCTCTTGAGCTTTTCCAAGTTTTTTTTTTTTTTTAAAGAAACACTTAACTGGCACAATCTTTTGGTGCACAATGTTTGCTTGACTTTATCTTTCAAACTCTGGTTTTATTATATTGAAGATATGTTTGAAGGGTGTTGCTGTACATCTTGTATATTTCAAGCAGGCAACAATCTCTCCTATTTTTAAAATTTAATTTCATTTGCTT